AAATCTTTATCATGCCTGACTGTTGATTGTCTTTTAAATTCCCCTGTACCTTTCTGTTGTAGTTTCTCCGTGTTTACCTTCCCCCCCCCTCCTTTGGGTTTGTGAGCCGCCCTGAGTCCCTCAGGGAATAGGGCGGCATATAAATAAAATAAACCTTCAACCTTCAAGACCAATAGCACTGATTGACACCTTTGAGGTTTCAGAGCACTCTTAAAGTAGTCGGGCAGACAATTTATGACTCGCAGCTCAGTGCTTTAGCTGCCCAGCTTCAGCAATCCTCAAGAGACTGGCTTCGAATCACGCTTCGCCCTGCTGCTTGGCCACCTGAGTAACGTTGAATTGTACCTGTGTGTGTTTTTCCGCAGGCTCCACCGGGCCCAGTGCGCCATTAAGCAGACTCAGGTAACCGTTCAGAAAATAGGAAGGGAGATTGAAGAGAAACTGAGGCTTACGTCTACAAGCAACGAACTGGTATGCTTCTTTTTTCTTTCTTAAACTGGGTCTGTGTGTGTCTGTCTCAGACAGGTGTCGTAAAATTCTCAGCAAACAGAAATTATAGTCTTAACTCAAGAACTACCTGTAAGAGGTAATTTAAGTTTCCCGATTTGAACACTGCAAATATCAAAACTTATAGACAGACTCTCCCAAAGGTGCTTTTTCAAGAGGCCACTGGACTTCCTTTCTTTTTCCTTGAAGATCTTTCGCTCCTTGTCCAAGAAGCTTCTCCGGTTCTGGCTGAATGTTGGAGAATGGAAGGATTTATCTTCCTTGCAGTCATCATCTCTGAGAGTCCACGTTGAGTCCGCGACTCTTGAGAGGGAGGGCTAAGGACCACATGACAGCAAGGAATATAAATGCGTCCATTCTCCACCATTCAGCCAGAACTGGAGAAGCTTCTTGGATGAGGAGAGAAACCTCTTCAAGGAAAAACTAAGTACATCCGGTTCCACCACAAAACCGCGGTCAACTAAAGCGCGCTCGACGAAACCGCGTACCTGACGTCATCGCAGCGCGATGAAAAAAGCACGCTGTGAGCGGTAAAGCTAAAATTAACCCGTAAACCGAAACCTAACCCCCCGAAACCTAACCCTAAACCTAACCTAAACCTAACCCTTAACCTAAACCTAACCCTTAACCTAAACCTAACCCTTAACCTAACGCTAAACCTAACCCTTAACCTAACCCTAAACCTAACCCTAACCCTTAACCTAACCCTAAACCTAACCCTAAACCTAACCCTTACCTTTACGTGAATCGGCTTGCTTTCAAAGCGCTTTTTAAAGCGCCCTTTATTCTCCGTGGTCGTTGTTGTCGCGCTGCTGATGACGTCAGCGACGCGCGTTAATCAGGCGCGCTTTAGTGGACCGCGGTTTTGTCGTGCCACGAGTAAGTCCAGTTGCCTCTTGAAAAAGCACCTTTGGGACAACCATGACCTGGATGATGGAGAACGTTGAAGCATCTGATGTAAGAATAGAATAGAGTAGAGTAGAACAGAACAGAACAGAACAGAACAGAACAGTAGAATGGCATCTACAGTAGAATAGAATAATAGAATATAGAAGAGAAGAGTAGAATTGAAAGAGACCGTGGAGGTCTTCTAGTCCAACCCCCTTCTTAGGCAGGAAATCCAATACCGTTTCAGACCTTCCCCCCCCTCCCCTTTTTTTAAACTGACGGGAGAGAATTTTTTGAAAGAATGAAATGCAGTTATAGAATTTATTCCCTTTTTTTCTCAACTTCCGTAATGACCCGCTTTGCATGTCAAGAGGACTCTTTTGGTATTAATCGAAATTACAAGCATTTTTTCTCAAGCGCTCTCCCCCGTGCGCGTAACAAAACCTCTTTTTTTTTTATTACCATTAAATGAAAATATTTATCTGGAAAGTCCAACAGCTTAATATGTTGGATTAAACCTAGGGGGAGGGGGGGAATGAATTAATAGGTCTCCTAATGCTCTCCGGTTACAAGGCATCTGAGTGGACTCGGCGGTGAGCGAGAGGGTTGCCAGGGAACGCAACCTCTCGCAAATCCATCAATTGCCAGCGGGAAAGAGTGGTGAATCTCGTAACCACGTCAGCTGGGTGATGCTCTAAGGTTTCGAGGATGAGTAACAGGAGGAACGGATGACATTTTGGGTGCTGGGACGTGCATTTTACTGGCCAGCTTAGGACTGACGCATTATGGCTTTGGAAGAAGGCCTTCCGTGAGACCAGCTACTGAAATAGGAACCATTCTAACAGAATAACAAAGTTGGAAGTGATCTTGGAGGTCCTCTTAGTCCTGCTCAGGTAGGAAAACCCTATACCATTTCAGACAAATGGTTGTCCAGTCCTCTTCTTGAAAGCCTCCAGTGATGAAGCTCCCACAACCTCTGAAGGCAACTTCTGGTTGATTGTTTCTCCCTGTCGGAAAACTCCTCCTTATTTCCAGGTTGAATCTCTCCTTGGTCAGTTTCCACCCATTGTTCCTTGTCTGGCCTTCAGGGGCTTTAGAAAATAGCTTGACCCCCCTCCTCTCTGTGGCAGCCCCTCAGATATTGGAACAGTGAACATCATGTCTCCCCTGGTCCTTCTCTTCACTGGAGTAGCCGTGCCCAGTTCCTGAAACCGTTCCTCATATGTTAAGCACATCAATGTCGATTTGTTATATAAAATAAAATAAAATATTCACAGAAACTAATCAAGGAGAGAACCAACCTAGAACTTGTTCTCACTGTCAGAAAATTCCTCCTTATTTCCAGGTTGAATCTCTCCTTGATTAGTTTCCATCCATTATTCCCTGTCTGGCCTTCAGGTGCTTTGGAAAAGAGCTTGACCCCCCCTTCCTCTCTGTGGT